TAGGAAACCAAAGCTTCTGTGATGAAGGCCATTGTCTCAAATTGCTGAAAGACAAATCACTAGATCATCTATTCATCATTGTAGAATCAATTAACATTTTCATTGATAGATAACCAAGTCTTACTAGTGGCATCAGAATTCCTTCCTGTGGTTGATAGCCATATCACTTGTTGTCTTCCTTGAAAACCACATCGACAATTTTCATTTCTCTTATGCTTACAAAAGCCCTAATTCAGCCCTCACAAACTCCACCCTTGAGGTTAGGCAAAACAAATTGTGGCACCAGACGTTTGAAGCACATGCTAAAATGATTTTAGAATGACTAAATTATTAATCTTTGCCTAATATCATCACTCCTTCTATCATACAAGTCATGCGATTATTTTATTATACGGAAGGCAGAAAAAGCAGTTCCCTAGGGGCAAATAAAAGCCACAAATTTAGGATGGCAACAACCCTAAGAAGGAGCAGAACAGAGGAATCGACGAACCTCGTGGTGTTTGAGGAGCTCGAGGATGGAGAGGACGATATCATTGACGTAGCAGAATCCGGAGGCCTCGCACTTCTTGGCGTGGTGGAGGCCGCCGGCCCAGTTGATGGCGATGTCGTGGCCGTGGTTGAGCTTGACGGCGCCGCCTACGGAGCCGCCGGCGTAGGCCTGGCAGAAGGAGTAGAGACCGTCGAAGACGGGGCAGTCCTCGCCGACGTTGAAGCGCTTGAGGGCGCGGATCTGGTCCTGCTGGGTCTCCGGGGAGATGGAGCGGAGGAAGGCAACGTAGTCGTCGGCGTGGAAGCGGCAGAGGTCGCGATCGCGGGCGGGGTTGGGCTTGTAGACCTGCATGTGGCTGAGGAGGCCGTAGTGTGCGAGGAGGGCGTGCGTCATCCGGATCCGGTGCGGCTTCATCGGGTGGCCCTGCCCGTAGTAGTAGTTCCCGATCTCCGAGTCGTAGAAGTAGCACACCTTCCGATTCGTCGCGTCCGGCCCCACGCCCGGCAGCGAGTTCCCGCCGCCCATCTCCATGCCAAATCCCCTTCCCTTCTTCCTCCTCTTCACCTCTTTCCAATCCTATAGACTATAGAAAACAAAGAATGGGAAATTAAGTCTTAGACAATGGAGACGTTGGGAGACGCAAAGAGAGAGTGTGTGTGTTTATATAGGTTGGCGAATTTTTTTTAATTTAAAAATAAATTCTCGAAAACACACCTGAAAATTTCTCTAGTAATAGAGCCTTAATTTAAAAAAATATATAGAAGACTTTTTTTTTTTCAAATGATCATTGTGTGTCGATCGATCCTGTACACCTAGTCTTTGACCGAGCCTTCGATCTATTGGTTGTCGATCTATTGGTTGTTCTCTTCTCTCATGCTAGACCTACCTAGCAACGGACATTACGAGCGATGGTGAGTCGCCTTCCATCCTTGCCAGAGGGCTGCGGGTAATGATGAGGGCATGCCCAGTCCTTTCTTATCGACAATTGACGACAATGAGGGAGCATAATGTCACAGATAAATATATACAAAAGATGTTTGATGTAATATTTTATATATATTCATGTCTTTCGATTTTATACATGCTTTAAGAGGGCTTACAGTAAGCTTAACAACCCCAGTTTTATTAGTTTTTGTAGTTAGTTTAGTCTTGTAAATGTAAGTTACGTACAGTCATCATGTAGAGATAAAACTACTTAAAAATAAGTTATCTAGACAACTATTTTGTAGATTTTCTAACTCCACAAAGTGATGCTGAGTGTCAGCTAGTACAATATCCAGGAGCTATCTAAGTGGCACATTGCTGGATGGACCTTTGGGATATTATCTAGGGCTAGTTTTATATCTTATTCCACGGTAGTATTATATGAGAATTTATGAACACTTTTGGACATGATGGATCATCTTGGAACCTCTAACACGTGATTATTCAAAACTTTGAAAGTCTATGTTTGTAATTTACATTCTCTATCAAGTGTTTGTTAAAATGTGGGATCCTGAGTTAAATGTTTCTTCTAACTTGTCTTCTCTTTTACAGGTCTTTATGGGATAATAAGAGGTTTTGATAAGGCTGACCCTTTATAAATTAACACACAAGGGTGTCACATAAGTAAAATCAACTACATCTCTGATATATAGTATCAGAGCAAGACAAGCACACTTACAAATACTTAACATACAAATTTAGGGGACCTAACGAGGCTACGTTGAGGGCAACTAACACATGTGATTGTCTAAGGGAAACGAGCATAGAGATGTAGGGAAAGGAGTCGCTTACAAGAGCGAACATTCGAGATTGACATTTAGAGGAATGATCAACCCTTCTCATAAGAGACACCATAATGACAAGCAAGCTGGGAAGAACACAACACACAAAGGTTAGGATAATTGAGTTTAAGTTACAGCTCGAAGTTGGTAGCCAAACTTGATGGTGCTCAAGGCAAACAATAGTATTTGACAAAGGATGAGATCGTGTATGAAAGGATGAGTTGCTCGACGACTAAAAGAGTTGTGCAAAGCTTACAGAGGTAATGATGGACTGTTCGTGATCATTCCAAGGTAATTAAAACTCGGAGTCATGGAGCATAAAAACTTTATTTTTGGCATAAGAAGTATACATCCATAGGAGACTAAAGTGTATAGTAGGTTTAGCATGTTACTTGGCTTTAAGGGATGCATGGGGGTTATATTAGCGAAAAATCGTAATATAGCAAATGTGTTTACAATTATGAAATACTGTATAATTTATTCAGCAAGGCGAAGTAGTCCAAGGGGATGGTGGTTTTAGAAACTTCTAGAGAGAATGATACAAGGAGAAAATTTATTCTAACAGGGTGGAAGATATCTAAGAGAGAAAAGTCTCAATTCTCAAAAGGGATAATCATGTGTAACAGACTGCACATATTAAGGGGGGCACATGAAAATGATAACTCTATAAAGCTCAATGGAAAGAGAGAGCAACGAGAAGTCGTCCATAATCTTGCAGGAAACAAATGCACATTTATAGTCAATGTGGAGATCAGACTCAACGAAAAACTAACCTATGGAATAGTAGGTGCGAGGGTCATCATCAACTCAATGCAAATCGAGGAGTTGATATAGAAGAAAAAATATAAAGCAGAGGCACAAAGCTTTCTTTAAACAGAGGTCAAGGACATAAACTCTTGTGGAGGCAAGAGTGAGATCATGTGGTTCTATGGGTCCCTTATTCTGAACGATTAGACTCTTATATAGTGCCAAAGTTAAAAAGATTCAAAAGTACTCATCTTAAATGCAGGTTATATGTAGTCATCGCGATAAGACAAAACTATCTAAAAATATACCATCCAAGTAGCTAAAGATATTGGAGGTTTCCTAGCTCTATAGAGTGGTATAGAGTGTCAACTAGCATAACACTTTGGAGCTACTTGAGTGACATATGGCTGGATGGACCTTTAGGATATTATCTAGGACTGGTTTGTTGTCTTGTTCAGTAACATTGTCATTGGATACTTGTGAGGACTTTTGACGGTAACGAATCACCTTGGAACGTCCGTCACATAACCATTCAGAGCTTGCGAAACCTATGTTTATAATTTATATTGTCTATCAAGTATTTGCTAAAACATCTGCTTATCGGATTCTGAGTTAAATGATTCCTTTAACCCGTCTTCTTATCCATAGGTGTTAATAAGACCATAATAGATTTCGGGAAGGTTGACCATTTATGCATTGACACGTAATGGTGTTGCATGACTTAGGCAATACCAGCTTAGTTCATGATAATAAAGAGGTTGTATGACCTCTCCAAAACTAGTGATGAAGGTTATAAGTGGGGATAAGCTACCCCCTCCTTCCTCGCCCATAGCCAATAGTGAGGAGGGATTACGAGCGATGATAAGAGCGCACCCCCTCCTTTCTTGCTAATAGTCGACAACGAGGAGGGCACACGAGGAAGTTGCGCAACCCCTTCACGGCCAACGACGAAGGTTGTAGGCGAGGGGTGGCCCCTTCCTTCTTAGCCTACAAAAAAAATTACGCACACACGTCCATTTGATATGAAATTAATAATAATATACTCATCAAACCTTTATTAATCAATATTACTCTAGGATACTATTAATATAAGATTAATCAAACTCTTATAAGTTAATTTTGCTATTGTATACTTTCAATGTGGGACTAATCATAAAGACAACAATATACTCATCAAACCTTTATTAATCAATATTACTCTAGGATACTATTAATATAAGATTAATCAAACTCTTATAAGTTAATTTTGCTATTGTATACTTTCAATGTGGGACTAATCATAAAGACGTTGTCGACCCTTTCTTATCCAACCTCTATTACCATACCCAGGTTAGTTTTGATATCAAATGTTAACTGGCCCAAGCCTAATAGATTAATTAGTCTACTAACTTTATTTAACCTAAATCATGGATCAAAATATTTAAACTGAAATTGATAATTTTATATTTATTATGTTCTTATAAGTCGAACTTAATTTTGTTCGTTTTTGACGTGGAACCAACTATTTCAATATTAGAATAAATTTTATCTAATATATGAATCTTTCACTATGATATAAAAAAAAATTATATTTAAGAAAACTATTTTCAAGATTCATATCTTAAGTAACCATATCAATATACCAAGTCTACCCTCCAATAAAAGATCTAATCAATTTTGTTGGAGCCTTATCAACTTATAAAAGCTGGCCTAAGGCCAACTTTTTGCCATTACATCTACAAGCAAAAATGTGGAGAGAAATGGTTATTAACAAGCAACACATTATTCAGGACTGCAACAAATACAGTTGTCAGGACAGTAGAATTATAGCTGTTACCATGAAATTTACTATATACTCTATCCCATGGAAGAATATAGAAGGCACAGATAGCAATCCATAACAATCAAGACATGGGTGAGCACAACTTTAAAGATGCTAAACCTGGAAAATTTTCTTGGACCAACCAACAGTACAAGAAGATTACATGGCTGAGGAGCATTAAAAGTCAGCATTTTATCTTCACTGTTCAAAAGAGCTTTTCCTCTATATTTCTTATACTCAAATTTACTGAAACAAAATAACATGGATGGAATGTTCTCTACCAGGTATCATAAACACATTTAAGCAATGGATACATTCATTCCTTCTTTCCTTGGCACTTAACTAAGAATCAAAAGGTCTGTTGAAGCTCAGACACACCTCCCAAGTCTTTCCCTATATGTTAGGATTCTGTACTTACACATTCCAGCATCTTCATCTTTTGCATCAAGAATGTAGCATCATCCTAACTTTATGATTGCTCTATAATTTTTGGGCCCCTATATTTTGCCCCAACTACAAAGAAGTCATCAGGTTTCTTCTTCGCTTCAAGCCAAGCATACACTCCATCCTCTTCAGGTGCCAAGTTCCCATCTCCTGAAATGGAGCAAATTGGTTGGTAATATTAAACAAGCAATCATATAACAGAAAACAATGGAGCACAAAACATGTTCTCAGAATTGAATAGAAAAATGCATCTGAAGATGCAAATTTCTTGTAAGGACTATATCCTAGAAATGTGGTGCTGAAGTTTTGAATCTAACTTTATATATACACACACAGTAATGTAGAATTTTGATTTATTTCAGAAAAAAATGAATTGATGACAATGGCACCAACACCAGGTTTTGGTTCCAAAATATTTCCAGGAAAGCTTTGCAAATATTTAGTGCTGACTTCTTATGAAAACTAACCAGCATAACAAATGGTTTTCTTGACAGATGACATGAACAACACTGTTTTCTGCTTGGTCCAAGTATAACCAAAAATCTTTTTTCTACGATGCTAGAAACACAAATCTGTAATGACTAATTATCGTTAAGTTTGATGAGTAAGGTCCCTTGAATCAAGAAGTAACACATACATATAAATTGTACATACATACATACATATATACAAGTAATCACATCATGACATGCAAACCAACCAGATCTTAGCCTAGTGGTTGGTTTCCTCTTCTTCGAGAAGAGGTTTTGGTTATTAATCGTTAGCGAGGTGGGTGCAGAGGTAATGTCTCTTGGTGGAGGGTCTCCCCTCCCTTCCTAAGAAAAATCAGCATACATCAAACTATGAGATGCCCCAAATCAAATGAAGGTTTATACAGTCAATAAAAGCAAAATTTAGTAGGAACAACATAAGCCAAACAGAATATTCTGCCCAACATACCAGAAAAACTTTTATAATGAAATTCATTGTAGTATGTGCAGTCCCTTCCATCGTCGGGGTTTGAATAAGGCGGCCCCAGGACATCCAGCACTGCACAGGATGATCTTGCGGTAAAACAGTGCATGTTACCTCCATCTTCTGGATAAAGCACAGATGTCTTACAAGGTGCAGTAAAGACGGAATCAGTCTTCACCTTTGCCAAATGCAATCCTGGGGGTTGAACTGCTACAAGGGGGCCACATATTATTTTACAGATAGAGATGTGCAAGAAGCAGAAATAGATCAACGAAAGAAAAAAAAAAAGAAATAAATTAAATCTAAGAGCTACTATCCGAGTATCAGATAGTTACAACTGGAACTTACAGTGTAAGGATTTCACAATCTCATTAGAGTTCTGAGGCACATTAACCCAGTCATATGATTTGATGTGCATGGAACCAAAAAGAAGCTTGCTGAATACTGTCATCCCTGGGTGATTATGGAGTGGAATGACAGCTGATGGAGGCAAACAGAAGATGCCAATCTGCACATTGCACACAGCAAACAGGGAAGTGGTCAAACAGCTGAAGCATTTTGCAGATATCATTCTTGCGTGTAATGAAAGAGCATCCTTGAGTACCGATAACTTGTCACACTTGTAAATGTGTAAGTATGTAATTGGCAGAGTTCTCGTGGATGCACCATGTCGAAAATATGGCATATTTTGAGTAAGACCAACATCAGATGCATCTATATAATCTGCAAGTAGGAACATAATTGCAAATGTCAGAAAAGGAACAGAAATTTTCATTTAGATGCGTCAAAAACAAACAGGTTCTAAGTTCCCAGCTTGTATAATGAACCAAAAAAATTTAAAAATTGCATAAAAAATCTGTATTTTGTCTATCATTGATTAGCTTCCCACACTTACATAGAGTCAGCTCAAAGAACAACTATATATGTACATGTAACAAATTTAATCTTTAATCCGAGAATAAAGGATGAAAAATATTTGAACATTACAAGACAAGATGTGGTACCATCTTTACTTGAAAAGAATGTAAACTAACACAAAAAAAAACAAGGATGCCAAAAAAAGGGTGAAGAACAAAATGTTGAGCTGCAAATGTACTTAGCAACCTCGTATATCAGACAGATCGTATAATGGTCAACCCCAGTTCCTGTTATTGATACATTGTGTAAAGAAAGCCCTTGGTTGCATGGTCTTAAAAGACCAACAACCTATCAACATTGACCATGCATCATGGAAAGTTTTCTTCTCATGCCATCGCCGCCAGTGCTGTGCAATTCACATGCATGTCGACTCAAAGTACATCCCCCTTACCCACCCTCCATGATTATAAGTACGCACAATCATGCAACCTAAACTGCATCTTTCCAAAATTCTTCCTTCTGTTGCTGTCTGTAAGCAGATTTGCAGCCTGTCTATATTGACATCAAAGATGAAGTTGGCAAATACTATAATGATGTCACTTGGTGCCTTCTCACCAAATAGACCAAATCCAGACCAAGAATAGAATTTAGAATCCATTATCACTTGGTTTTACAATTGATATCTTAAGAAAGCAGACTGTGCTATGGTCCTACTTGGTAACACAGGCAGTTCAAAAATAAGCAATCTTTCAAGCAAGACTCAAAAATATCAGCTAGGTGAAGCGTACATTGCATGACCATACAAGAAAGATGCACAAATAAAACAAGAAAAACAATCACAGGTACAAAGCAAAAAATGAATAATGCTCGAAGCAAAATATCATAATACCATCCAACAATATCGCTCAAATGTCATGTAAGGATGCAATCAAAGAAAGCACTTCATTCACCGTATTCATATAAATTGAACAGTTTCTTACTGTCAAGAAAAACAAGCAAACATACGTAACCTGAATTCCTAAAACTGCACATTCTATTGTGATGATCACAAACTAAAACAGTTTAACATGCATCAGCGCTAAAAGTGACACCTTGCACATCAATGTAACAAGCAAGCAGTATAGACGATACCCAAAACGGACCGAAGGCGATCGACATCCTCCGGCGAGGGCACAATCCCAGCCCCTCCGTCAGCGAACACCTCCTTGCATGTCTCGAACAGCCTCTGCACCGCCGACGGTGTCGACCCGACCTTCTTCTGCTTCCTTTTGTTCTTCTTCGACGAGGGTCGCCTCTTTTCCGAGGTCAATTCCCTCGCCACAGCCGATAACTCCGGCGTCCTCTGGTCCGCCAACTCCCCCTGCACCCTCATCAAGGAAGGACTCGAGGCAGGAACACAAAACCAATCCAAAAACACCCAAAAAGGTGAGGCCTTTGGAGTCCTTGATGCCAAAAGAAAACAGAGGCAAAGATTGGATTTTTATACTGGCACAGGGGAGTGGGACTCATTCCATTGGAAGAGTGGGAAGCAAGAGGAAAGAGGAGACGAAGGAGATGCGTCCCATTGTGTGAAACACAGTCTGCTAAATATTTACATGAGAAGATCTCAAAGGCAACATACTACTGCATCACAATCTCAATTCTCAAGGAGTGTGGGGCTTCACCATGGGGAGGAGGAGGAGGAGGAGGAGGAGATGGAACCTAAGGGGGATGAAAGAGAGGGACAGAGGTGGGGTAGAATGGGGAGGAAGAGGTGGAGGGTGTTGAAAGGAGGAGGAAATACCATCAGTTTTGTATGGGAAACAATGGGCAAAGGAAGGAAGGCTGGTCACTTTTCCTGTGGGCTAAAACTCAAAACAGCTTTTGAGCATGGCATCTCTCTCTCCCTCTCTCTCTGTCTCTCTCTCTCTCTCTCTGGGGGGCCCCATCATGACCTCCTTTCCTACTTTGAGGCCTATGATCTCATTCTTCTGGTGTCTACACATGTGGACTGAACCCCAGCCACATCCAAGCAGCACTGATAGCCTAATCTACATGCTGATTTCATGTCAATGTGGAGCTGTGTGATTGAGTAAAAGTGTCTTGCTTAAGCTTTAATTCATATCTTCCTTGTTGACAAGTTACCATCAAGGTATTCAACTGTGAGAGTATCATATACATTAAGTTCATTCTTATTTTCAGGATCTTATGATAATGTAAATTTTTTTTTATGAGTACCTCTACTTTAAAATAAAAATAAAATAATAATTTTTAAATAATTTTTTTATCTCTATTAATCATCGCCCTCCGCTTGTTGTCTGGTCATGTCTCGAACAATCGTGTATTGTTTGGTCACATCTCAACAATCACTTGTTGCCTAGCTATACTTCATACAAGAGTCCATTGCTCGTAACTCTCACCATCATTACTTATAACATACCCTCTCCCCTCACCCATAGCCTTTGTCGTCGCTCATAAACCCACCCCCATCCCTTGCTTGTAACCCTAACCATCGACTACAAGAGAGGAAAGAAAAAAACACACCATCCATAAATGAGCGACGAAGGAGAGGGGGTGATCACACACCCGCCTTAGTCATCACTTGTAAAGGCCCCCTCACACTCTCGATGGCGGGTGAGGAAAGAGAGGGGGTAGCTTGCCTACCCTCGTCATTAGCCATAGGGGCGAAAGGAGGAGAGAGGCACATGCCTTCACTATCACTGTCTCGTATGAGGATTGTACGGGTCAACGGAGGTGGCTTTTATATGCAATGATGGGTTCGACCAAAGAATAAGCAAAATGATCTTTTCACGTAGAGGTGTTTGAAAATTTTTTAAAATAGGAGTGAAAATTTTTGAAAAGTAGAATCTTTTCAAAAAAAAATATTTTTTTTCATAAAGACAAAATCCAAACTGTTATCATGCAAACTTGAGGTATCCTATACATTCCTTGCAAACTTAATGTATGCAAACTTGAATTCTTTTCTCATTCCTAAGATTTGATGATGATGTGTTTAATTTATTTTTTTCACATAAAAAGTGACGAAGGCCGAATTTGAATCCAAGAGTTATTAAAATCTTTAATATCTAAACTCGTCAGTATCTTCAAAAATATATCGGATGAATTTTAAACCTTTAACTTTTGGTAAATGGATCTTATACATCACTATCGATCAATATTTTAGATATAATTTTTTTATATAATACTATTTTATACTATTCTTTTCTATTTTTAGAATCCAAGATGATCTGATTAAATGTTTTACCTGTACCAGATCATGTCATGAATTTAAGTCTGGTATCTATCCCTCTATATTTCATCTAGTGGTTTTTAAATTGGTACATTATGAATTTCTCATTTGTGCTATGCACTTATTTTATTAACATTTATGTAATGTTTTTCTTCTCTCTAACTGATTTATGCCATCTATCTTAGTTTTATGTCTCTCTAATCGAGATTGTTTTATATAGCTTCAATTTTTTGAATATATGATAATTCAATCAAAACCTATATATTTATAATTATGCTGAATTATCATATCATGCATATCACATAGCTTGATGATAAAGAGGTGCCATTGCTCTTTAGTGTAATATGGTAAGGCTAAAGAGAGAATAATATGCATAAAGTTAGAAGTTCTAAAAAGTTAGATTTTTTTTTTTTTAGTTCAAAATTTTGTTGCATACAAGTTCTTGAGAATATATTTATTTATTAGGAAATATTACAAAAATGGACAAGGGATTAAATAATTTCTAAATATTTATGAATTTAGAAAGAAACATCTCACAACTGAAGTGTCACTTTTCATATTCAGAAGTGTTTCCTGAGAAAGAATTTATATGCATATCTTGAACTAATATAAGAATGAATGTTTTCCTTATTTCTCATTCACCATACAAGCATAATATTATTAGGTTCATCCTGACATGATTCAACTTAGGAATTCTCCTCGAGACTAATATATGGTTCAAAAGCATTCCCTTTTCCATCCTAATAATTCTGATACAACAATCCAAATTATTAGTAGCAGATCATCTAACTCTATATGCCATGGTATATAACATCATATTGTATACATAGGACTAATACATATCACATAATAATGCTCTTTCTATGCAATATGCAGATGTAGCAAAGCATTCACATAATAGGAAATTATTTCTGATGTTATTATGCTGATAATTATATTAAATTAATCAGTATTTATTAAATAGTTTTAGGTGTCTACAAAAAAACACATTGCTATGTTAAGAATTTTTTGGCCACTATGATGTAATAAGTCCTCATTTTCAATGCTCTCTCTCTTTTATGGTGCATAAATTGGGTGCATTTCATTATTTATATGTACAAAGAAAAATCCACCATCCATGCATCTATTAAACACATGCAAGTTGTTATATCTAACATTGAATCTTTTTCGATCTTGTGCTTGTCAACAACAATAATAATAATAAAACTGAGAGTTCTAATAGAAAGGACTACTCGATTAATTTAATGAGCCACTAATGAGATAGACCTTATACACTCCATTAACTTGAAGGAACCAGAATCACTGCCTAAACATTTTGGATCAACTGTTCAGGCTCAACAATCTAATCGGTCAACATGTGAACTAGCTATAAACTGTAAACGAATAAAAAAGAACAAAAATACTTTAGAAACTTTGACAAGAACAAGGAGTTTCCACTTGACACTGCACAAAACTCTATATGATGGTTCTGCCTGTGGGTGTAAAATAACATGTATCAGATAGGTTATACAAGCATAAGATAGCTTTATGAATCTCAGGAGATGTATCGGATAGGTATATAATAACAGGTATCAGATAGCTTTATGAATCTTAGGAGATGGGCAGGTCACAAGTAATCAATGATCTGTAGAGTGCCCAACACTCTTATTTGGCTGGAAGCTAACACTACTTCTCAGTGCTCAGGTAAGCCTGGTGCTCAGAAAGCTTACATTTTTGTGTTCTTTGCATGATTTATATGTTCCACAACATAAACCTCTTCCATGGCAAATTGCAGTCACAAGTAATGAATGATGTTTAAAGTGCCCAACACTCTTATTTGGCTGGAAGCTGAAACTACTTGTCAGTGCTAAGGTAAGCCTGGTGCTGAGCACAGAAGTGGAATCAAAGGAAAGCTTACATTTCTGTGTTCTTTACATGATTTATGATGTTCCACAACATTAACCTCTTCTATGACAAATTGAAGTACCCCACAACTCAAGGGGGAAATGCTCTAGCAGGCTCTCTTCTGCAGTGATCAATGCAGAATCCTCGCCTGTCAAAATGATAAACAACATCAAGAACAGGAAGAAGAAAAGAGGAAATCTTTAAGGCTTCATTCTATCAATTTGTTACTGAACTCTATGAATCAATTTTGCTCATGCTACCAGCAAATGAGAGAACAAGGATGAAGGCCAAGATCTATATCGGAGGTTAAGATAGAGACTATGACTCAAACAAAAGCCCACATAAATGAAGAGAAGCATTGCCCCAAGTATCCTGAATGAGGTTGAAGAAAACAGAAGAGGATATTTCTATCATTAAAGAAAGTTTAATAAATAAAGAAAAAGAAGCGAGTCAACAGGGGAAGCCAAAGAAACAGAAGAGAGTCAACCAAGACTTAGCTAGGAGTTCAAGAAGTTACAGATCACCTCAAAGGCAGATCATCCAGTTCTCAAGAATTACAAGAAAGCAAAGGAAAATCCAGTGATAGAATTCAGAACTTGGCCTTTCAATCTTCAAAGAAGAAGATGAAGCCTGATCAGACGAGTTGCTAGGTGATTGTAAAAACTCTGAAAAATGATCCTGTTAAGTCATAAAAGATATTGAAGATATCATACTACATTTGGTTTTTATATCTTGAAAGAATAAAATTTTCACAAAACATGGTTATAGTGAAACCAAATTGATCCTATTTCTTGTCTTTGTTCCACTTGAAGTAATACTTGCAGACCGAAGAAGGATGTGGATGTTTAATCACTAGCATTTATGGAATTATAACAAAATGCATGAGCAAAACCATTATGTAAGATAAACATGCCCAGTGAGTCATGCATTGAACAAAATGCATTCCAGGTGCATCAATACTTATTTCAACCACAGTAAGTCATCATTTCAACCACAAACAAAACTTGATCTATCTGGAGATATCTTTTCTTACTGAATTGAACGAGCTACCGTTGGGGGAATCCTTTTCTCACTAATTTTCTCGATTCAAAGCTACCTCATCACAAACAACTACCAAAAAGAGTCACAACCCAGTTGTACAGCATCACAGATTATACTCCACATATGTACAAGCAAATCCGAAACTTAAGAGTGAAGAAGTGAGAGATCACACACATTGACAAAGCATGCTCGTAAAAGCACATCACAACACGTTGATGAAGCCATAAAAATGCGATTTTTTTGACGAAGAAACTGCAGCGAAAGGGAATCAGAAAAGCCAAGCAAAGAACGAACCAGAAAGTGACGAACTCGGTAGCAGGGCTTTCTCATCGACGGAGACTGTGGTACTCGTTGGCGAATAGCAGTGTCGGATCGGTACCTCTCAGCGATGACCTTTTCGCACACTCCATGGACGTCGAACGCTGAAGCTTCGACAAGCCCGAGTGCGTGATCGATTGGGGTCGAGGAATCGCCCAAAAGAGGAAGCCCTCTGCGTTCCTCCGCAGAGATCCAGTCGTTTTCGTAGTGCTACTGATGGGTCGGATTTTTTAGGATCCGATCCATTAAAATGGGATACAGATACCGGACGGACCTCCGAGGGAAGCATACAAGAATCGTTTTCGGGTTCGCAATTAATTTGCTAATGGATTCGGGAAGACTTGAGTGTTCGATCCGAATCTATGTTCCACCCGGTCTGAGTCGTCCGAGTCGACTCCCTCAACTCGGCCGAGTCATGGCATTCTTAATCTTATATGTCCATCTCCCCTCATTTCCAAACTTCCGAAGCTATGATTCCACCGAAACCCTAATAACCGCCTCCGTTCAAACCCTAATCGTCCATCGCTTCCGATCTCCGACTATGAGGTCCAAAACCCTAATCTACGTCCTCTTCTTGGTCACCCTTGCCTCTCACGCTGCGCCCCGGACGGGAGAGGCCGCGACCCTCGGCCTGGATGCGTTCCTTGCCGGCGAGGCCCGCCGCGATCCCTCCGCCTCCAACGACTCTTTCACCTCCCTACCCGCGGCCCTCAAAAAGACGCTTGCCGCTTCACACCTGTCCGCCGACCACGCGACCCTCGTCTCACAGCTCCTATCCTTACAGATCTCCGTCCCCGTCTACGTGAAGCTTGTGGGCGACTTCTCCTCTGCTGCCCCGGGCATCATCCGGTCCTTCGCCTCCGCTGCCCTCACCTCCGACCGCTTCCACGTTATCGGCGCTACCCCGCACCACCTCGCCATCGGACACGCCCTCCACGTGGACAGCTCTCTCTCGCCTCTCGGATCGCAGATATGGAACGCCATCCGGTCTCACCTCGAGGCCTCGCCGTCGCCGCTCTATCGCTCTGCTCTCCTCTCTGTGCCGTACTCCACCGTCGATCATATCGTCCAGCAAGATTTCCAGAGGGAGAACACGAACTCAGCGCCGGGTTTCTACATCTACTTGCTGAATCTTGGATCTCAATCCAAGCCCTATGCCTATTCTGTCGATTCCAAGGATGCGTCGCTGGCCTTCACAAAGTGTCTGGGGACTCTCTGGACTGGGAAAGATCGGTATTTGTGGATCGACCTTGCTGCAGGACCAGTAGAATATGGCCCGGCAATTTCTGGCGAGGGCGTGATTCCCCGAGGTGAGTTCCATCCATTATCCTCGCTCCACGGCAGACCAAGATCAGAAAAGGTCCTTCTTTCGGATCTCACCTCTATGGTCCTTAGCGCATACCGAGCCCTTCTTGTTCCTTCTCTGAGGATTCCAGTCTTGTATGAGAACTCCCTCCTGATTCAGTTCATCCACGTTCATGGATCTGATCCGGATACCACTGGGCTTGACTGGACTTTCATCAAACAGACGCTAAAAGAAAGCGAGCTCGCTTACAAGGAACAATCTTTGGTGTTCAAATCATACAATGTAAAGTTCTCTGAGTGCCCAATATGTTCTTATGCCATTGCCCGATCGACAAATTCATACACCTCCCGGTTCCTCTTTGAGAACTACACTCTTATTGTGAGTGAATATTTGGACTCGAAGCGCATGCATCAGATACTATCAGACTCAGTGGAAGAGGTACGGCGAGCTGCAGCAATTCCTGAAGAGGAGGAATATGGCAAGGTGCTTCCAGTATATGTGTTCGATTTGGAATATGACAAGCTCCTTTTGCTCGACCGGTACCACCAGGCTATTGCATTTAGAAACATGGTGATTGCTGTGAGGACCAGGAGCTCGCAGACTGTCAGCGACTACAGCTGCAATGGCCGGCATGTGATTACACAGACCCGTCACCTCGACCGCCCCATCATTGGTTCCGTGCTTCAGAGCATGTGGGGTGTCTCGCCAACCCACCTGTCATGGAGCCCACAGCACAACAGTACCCTGGTTGATTACACTTGGAGTGTTGGTCAAACTCCATTCGGACCCTTCTCTGAAACATCATCCCTGTCCTTTATTCAGAGAGATGCAGCACGGAGGAATGTTCTGCTAACTTCATTGAACTACACCATTACAAGTGTCATTGATGTATTGCAGTCTATGGCTGCACATGGTGGAGACAGGAAGCTTCTCAAAGAAAGAAAGCATGTTGAGTTTGTTCAGAGGTGGAATTTGCTCAAGTACAAGCTGGAGAAGGTAGTTTCTGCCATCTCCCACTTCGATTTCGAGAAAGCCATGTACTTCCTGAGGTCATCAGATCATGATCTGTATGCTATACACACCTTAATATATGAGGCATCACAAAAGTTGGAAGCTTTACTTGTTTGTTTCAAGGATCCACCATTCCCATGGGCATCGGTTTCCCTGTTTGGTGTGTTTCTTTTTGGTTTCTGTTATGTCTATGCAAAGAGGGACAAGATCTTGAAAAGCAAGAGAAAACAGTTTTGAGAGTGATTTATATGTTGTAATAATGTATGGACATCTTTGTTTCCTAGTTACTTCTCTGGATATTTATGTCAAGATAGCAGATTTGGTATTAGTCAAAGCACATACGCCGAGCCAGGTCATGTTAAGTATGGCCTCTACTTTCTTGTGGAAATGTCTGATCTCTAAGATTTCATGGTTACAGATTAGTATATGAATGTTAGTTTTTATCTCTAAGTTGTAGTTGATAACTTTCCATGATTTAACATGTAAAATTCTCTTTTATGAGAAATTTTTTGTTTAGATTAGCTATCAATCTACTTTGTGCAATGAAAACACATGAAGATGTTCGCCTGCAAATGCCTACTAATGCTGATCTTGAATATTCTACCTTGCTGAATTTTGGCAGAGGAACTATAGGAACAGATGGCATTATTGCCTTTGACATATCAAAGTGAATGGACAGCACCAACTTGTTATATCTGGCTTATTATAGAGTTTGAATATCAGCAGGATCATGCCCTTTTTTTCTGTCTAAGATGCAGACATGATTAACTTCTTCAGATTGGTATGCTTTGTAAAATTCTCCATCATCTTCAACTATGACCAGCTCAATAGCATGGATGGATTAATGGATTTGCTGGGACAGGTTCGACTTTTCATGCATTGTCATCGTTCTTGTATATATTCAGATTTTTATAATCTGAAATATGTATAATATCTGAAAATTGGTATTCTTATTATTTTTGCACTTTTAGCATTAGGTGTCTGAAATAATTTTGTCTGAGAAACTTGGGTATAATATTGTCACAGTTTTGTCTCTAGTAATCTTGTTTTGCTTTTTTTTATCAACTTTTCCACATCTTTTTTATTCTCTGATGCTATTGTTTCTACCTTAAGACAGGTGCTAACTGTTGACTGTAGATAAGGTAATGTTTAGGTCTCAAAGGTCCATTTCCACACCCTTAGAAAGTCAAAAATGTTTTCAAATTTTGTAGGTTTATTTTCAGGTATTTGTGGATTTTTTTTAATACATCTTTCTAGATAAGCTTTTTGAGTGCCCTGGAGTTGTATTCAAGTATATATGTTATTAATTTATTATTAGCTCACTACAGACAGAATCTATACATACAGAACTTATTCAAGTATATTTGTTATTGATTCAAGGCATATCTGATCTACTTTTTATTTTAAACTTATCTCTTTTATTCAATATGTCACTCTCTTTTATTTTTTTGTTATACTTTACCAATATGGTTCTTTTCTTGCTTCTCTTTTATATCATACAATCACATATAACACAACATTGTCTATATTTAGGCTAATTACATATTACCCCTTATAGTTAGACCTCCTTAGCATCTTCGTCCTTAGACTTGAAAAGTTTGTATTGGAATCCCTATAGTTATGGAAGTGAAACATCTAGCTCCATTTATCCTAACATCGTCGGTTTTACAGACAAAAACATGAAAGCAAATGGTAAAAAGATAATTTTAATATTCTAGTTGGTGGTGGCAAACGACATTGTTGGTGGCGAACGGTGACGTCGTTAGGAGTCGCGGGTGGCTATTGTGGATGAAGAGAGCGACGGTTAGAGGTGAGGGCCACTCGGCAACTACATCGATGCATATGTAAGCAACGAAAGGATCGCTTGGGTGGCTATTGGGGATGAGGAGAGCGACAGCAAGAAGTGAGGGTTGCTATGCATCTACGTCGTGCTCTGCATCTGCACCGGTGTCGACGCAAATGTAGAGCGGCCCTCACCTCTCGACGCCGCTCTCCTCATCCACAACAGCCGCCCGAGCGACCCTTTTATCGCTCTACATCTGCATCAGCGTCGACGCGATTGCCAAGCGGCGAAAGGGCCGCTGATGCCGATGTCGAGCAGCCCTCTCGTCGCTCAACAACTTCGTCGACGTCGATGTAGATGCAAAGCAGCAAAAGGGCCGCTCATCGGCCTCGATACATATGTAGAGCAGCATCGCTTAGCAACTGTGTCGACGTAGATGTAGAGCGACCCTCACCTTTCATCGTCACACTCCTCATCCACAATAGCCATCCATGGCCCCTAATGGCATCGTCATCCGCCACCATCGACGTCATCCATCACCACAGATTGAAATATTAAAATTATTATTTTAATTTTTGTTTTCATGTTTCCATCAATAAAACTGACGACGTTATGATAAATAAAGTTAAATGTTTCACTTTCATAGGGATTTCAATATAAATTTTTTAAGTTTAAAAATTAGAATGTTAAAGAGATCTATAATCTGTAATTAGCCCTCTATATTTATCTGCAATGTAGATATTGCTACCATTCAAATTACTGATTTACAATGAAGCCTGTGCTCATGTTGCTACTGATTTACTACTACATGGGTGCAAGTTTTCTTGTTCCTTTACTTGTTATCTTGCTTTATGTTTCTTGTTCCTGTAGGCTGATGATGGAAACAGACGATACATCCTTCAGGTTATATGCTGAGTCTGAGGCAGGAAGTAGTACCAGGATGGACGGACTAACAGAGCTGTTGACCTAAAAAAAAAAAGATGAGATTTACTGTACTGGAAATCTTTGCATGTAGACATCACTGGAAGAATCTACTTCTGGTAGTATATCTTCACTGCCAATTCCCTGACAAATCTGTATAATTTTGATATCACCATTTTTGGTAGAATAATACTGTTAATATCATGCAACTCTTTGTAATTGTGGTGCTCAAGCCTGAAGAAGCCTATAACAAAATGCTTGTTTGCATGAAACCCTCCCACCAGCTATTGTCATGTGTGCATGCTTATTTTACTCTCAAGAGATGCGTGTATGTTTATTTGCAGAAGGTTCCGATGTGAATGGCTCAACATGCCAATATGTGGAAGTAGTTTCTCTTTTGTCATATTATGATCATGAACTGATGATGATCATATCAAGTGGACCGGACTTCTTGATGAGCAGCTATTAAAGAGAGCATTACTCCTCACCGAAGCTATGCTTATTGTTGAGAGTCTTCAAAGAGCGCTACGTCATGCCCTCTCACCTTATGATGCTGAGTGAATTAAATAACAGTACACTATTATAAATCACCCCTTTTTTTTCTTTTTAATGTTGGATGAAGACTTTTCTTCTCAACAACACTAAAAACAAAAAGACAAATCATACGTTGAACTGCAAGCAACTGCAAATGAATGCAGCTCTACACACTAAACTACTGGTCAAATAGATGCTCTAATTAAAGCAACACTCCCACTCTCAATTATATTGTTCTTACAACGTATCTACCGAATTCACTAAAGCGTAAAAGCGCAGCATACATTAGAGTAGAGTAGTAACAAAAGAGAAGGTTAGTTGCATGCTTCACAATAATGGAGAGTCCTCCAATATTGGTTTCGCAGGTTTACTTCATTCGGACTCTCCGGAGTCCATATTGGTGGTGGTGGAAGGACCTCCGCTCTTGTAATCAGCCATGGCCTCCCTGTACCGTTTAGTATCTGCCCTAGCCATCGACTCGTATGGTTCCTTCTCTTCAGCTGCAACGTAACAGGAAAGCATAAAACACAATCAATCAGTTACCCCTTGGATCTAAGAGCAGAATCTACAAAGGTTGTATCCATAATGGGAAATTGTGGCCTCAACAGATAGATAGTAACAGCAAACAAATCTCATGGTGGTTCCTGTGACTCTGGCGTGCACCAGGACGAGAAACAACTAGCTATCTTTTTGAGGGGCAGTTGCAGCATGGAACAAAAGACCGGGTGGACTAAGGAAAAGTACATGATGTACCCAATGTCCTAATAAATCATTTATGATTTCATTAGATCATTCAAATAAAGTATAGATCATTCATGATCATTTCTAAAAATGCATCCAATGTTCCGATGCTCAAGCATGAGACACTAGAAGAAAGACACATTCAAAATGATGCATATCTAAGAAAACTTGCTGATAGTTTTGTGAATTATCCTAAAGCTCTATAACATCTCCTAGAAATCATGGGTGCGAATTGAGTCCTAAAAGCAACAGACATTAAGGACAATTGATACTGGACAAGCCAAACCTGTCATTTTTTTCCATCTCTCTCCAAGGGCCCTTCCAACGTCTGTAAATGACATCCCTGGATTGCCCTTCTTCAAATTCTGCAAATAGAAGTACAGTTGGAATAATAAGTTTACAAGTCAAAACTATATTATGCTTGTTCACAAAGCTCAGTTTCCACAACATTTGCAGAGATGAGATAACCAAACAAAAATACTAACAAGAAAGATCAATTTAATTCACCTAAGAACTGAAGGAAACAAATTAGTCCGACAAGAAAGATCAATTTACACAACTTACTTCTCTTTCAGCATTTGAGAAAAACATAAAGCCTGACATAGCCCGTTTTGGTGCATTAGGATCCTTCTTCCTCTTTGGCTTTCTCTTCTTTGAACCTTCTTCGTCTCCATCTCTGCTTTTACCCTTAGCAGATGGTGCCTTCACTCCAGTAGCTTCCTTCTTGGAATCCTTAATGGAAGATTTCTGAGGAAAAATAATAACACTGCTTGAACACAATCGAATAGAGAAATTCCAGCATATTACAGGACACCATTTTTTTGTACCATGCTAATAATCAACATCAAGCAGGAAAAAGTGAATTCAACATAATTATTACAAGTAAACATATAAAAAATATACTTTCTCTTCTCCACTTTCACTAGCATCAGATTCCTCTTCCCCAGAATCATCTGTGGGTGATCCACCATCATCCTTTTCAACAACAAAATCTTCATCCTGCAGGGTAGATAGAAAGATTTATCAACTGATCACAAGATACCTTTAACACAAGCATATATTTGATGCGACTCTATCCAAGCACCTCTTCATCACTTTCATCCCCAGCAGCATTCTTTATTCGTTCAAGATGTGGATCTACAGCATCATCATCATCATCATGAAGAGCAGCAGCAACTCCATTGGTTGTTTGAGAACCTCCGAGATTCAGTATCTTCATACCCTTTGCCCTTCATGAAACCAAAAAGAACCAGGTAACAAATCCAGACAAAGATACCAAAAAGATTATAGGAATGATGATTAAGGACCTACTTAATGAATTCGAAGAGATTATGATATTCGTTTCTCTGGATATTTCTGAAAAGATGCTCTTGATCATTTTTAAGCTTAACAAGGAGATCAAAATAGTGAGATGACACACTCGATCCTCCTGCGCCATGGCGTTCAAATTCAACAAAGTCAATCTGCATACCCACAAAAAATAAGGAACAAACTAAGTTACTCGAAAAAGAGAAGTCCAGATGTCCTGGACAATAAT